GTTCCCTGTTGTTCTCTCCACCATGGGGCAGAGGCCAGGTGGACAATTCAGGGTGCGGTTCTCACACAAAGAACAGCTCTCAGTGTTGCTCTCTGACACTGGTCCAGAGACTGATTTCTCACTCACTTCTTGGAGCAAACTATGGAAAACACATTTCTGTAATTTACACATAAACCAGTATATCTGGTGTCGGGGGCTAATTTTACTGGGGGGAAGGCCACAGAACCAGGCTGGAAACTACACATCCAGGAACAGAATCCACAGCCCACCCTAGATCACGTTCCACCTAGGGACACCTGCTCAGACCTCCGACATCCTGGTGCTGGACGCTGGACCCTGAGGTGAGCTCAGATGTCACTGCTGCATCTGGAAACTGGAGATCACTACTGCCACTCAGCCATGTTCACTACAAAGCATTCTGCGCAGTCCAGGTTTTCTGTGCCACCTCATTCTGGCTCGGAATCTGTCAGTGATATAGGAGTTAAGAAAACATTATTTAGACAGATAGTGAGGCTACAGAAGTCCTCAGTAAGGCTTTCCTTTTAATGAAACGCAGCCCCCAAACATTTTCTTTTCTAACAAAGAGCAGCCTGTAAAATTACTACATTTAATCTGGGAGATAGACTCCAATACAATAACAGTGGGGACTTTCAACATCCAAACCTCAGCATTAGACAGGCCATCTACACAGAAAATCAAGAAAGAGCGGGACTTAAACTGAACTTTAGACCAAATAAAGCTGACAGATATTTACAGTGCATTCTATCTAACACTACAGATTATACACTCTTTTCATGAACACAAGGAATGTTTTCACGTTTTCCGGCAGAGGGCCTGTGTTAAGCCACAAAACAAGTTTCAATAAATTTTCAAAAACTGAAATCATATCAAATATCTTCTCTGGACACAATGGAATAAAATTAGAAATATACACCAAGAGAAACTTTGGCAACTAGACAAATACATGGAAATTAAACAACATGCTTCTTATTAAACAACAAATTAAACAACATGTTGACTCAATGAATAACCTTTGAGTCAACAGAGAAATTCAGATGGAAATCAAAAAGTTTCTTGAAACAAATAAAAATGGAAACACAACATACCAAAACCTGTGGGATACAGCTAGACAGGGCTAAAGGGAAGATTATAGCAATAAATGCCTACCTAAGAAAAGCAGAAACATTGCAAATTAACAGTATAACAATGAGCCTCAAGGAACCAGAAAAGCAAGAATAAACCACATCCAAAATTAGCAGAAAAAAAATACAGATCAGAGCAGAACTAATTAAACTTTTAAAAACCATGTAAATAATTAGCAAACTGAAAAGTTGATTCCTTAAAAAGATAAACGAAAGTGATAAACCACTAGCTAGACAAACCAAGAAAAAAAGAGAAGTCTCAAGCAAAATCAGAAAAAAAGGGAAAACATTACAACTGATACCACAAAAATACAAAAGAACAATTCTGTACTGACAAACTGGAAAACCTGGAGTATATGAATAAATTCCTGGAAACATACAACCTAGCAAGATTAAGTTAGGAGGAAATAGAAACCTGAAGCCCTTGCATACATGAAGTGTTCTCACAGTGGTCCAGTGGGCCCTGACCCCTCCCACCATGATTAATTCCTCAGTGCTGCTTTGCATAATTGAAATAAACCTACTCAGCAACAGGCAGAATTTGCAAATCAGTTCTTTTTTTAAACTTTTATTTTCCATTCAGGGGCACAGTACAGGCTGTTCTAAAGGTAAACTTGTGTTGTGGGAGTTTGTTGCACAGATTAATCACCCAAGTTTTAATAACCCATTAGTTATTTTTCCTGATCCTCTCCCTCCTCCCACTTTCTATCTTCTGAAAGGGCCCAGTGTGTGTTGTTCCCCTCGATGTCTCTATATGTTCTCATCATTTAGCTCCTACTTATAAGTGAGAACATGCAATATTTTGTTTTCTGTTCCTGCATTAGTTGGCTAAAGGTAATGGTTCCCAGCTCCATCCATGTCCCTGCAAAGGACGTGATCTCATTCCTATTTCTGGCTACATAGTGTTCTATGGTATCTATGTACCACATTGTCTCTGTCCAGTCTATCACTGATGGCCATTTCAGTTGATTCCATGTCTTTGCTATTGTGAAGGTTGCTGCAATGAACATATGTGTGCATATGTCTTTATAATAGAATAATTTGTATTCTTTTGCGTATAATAATATTTCTATCTTTAGGTCTTTAAGAAATCACCACACTGTCTTCCACAGTGGCTGACCTAATCTGCACTCCCACCAACAGTGTATAAGTGTTTCTTTTCCTTTACAACCTTGCCCGCATCTGTTATTTTTTGACATTTTAATAATCGCTGTTCTGCCTGGTGTGAGATGGTATCTCACCATGGTTTTGATTTGCATTTCTCTATTGATCAGTGGTGTTGAGCTTTTTTTCGTATGTTTGTTGGCTGCATGTATGTATTCTTTTTAGAAGTGTCTGTTCATACACTTTTCCCACTTTTTAATGGGGTGGTTTTGTTTTTTCTTGTAAATTTGTTTAAGTTTCTTACAGATGTTAGATATCAGACTTTTGTCAGATGCATACTTTGTGAAAAGTTTTTCCCCATTCTGTAGGTTGTCTGTTTGCTCTGTTGATAGTTTCTTTGGCTGTGCAGAAGCTCTTTAGTTGAATTAGATCCCATTTGTCAATTTTGCTTTTGCTGCACTTGCTTTTGACATCTTTGTCATTAAATTGTTGTTCATACCTATGTCCTGAATGGTACTGCCTGGTTGTCTTCCAGGGTTTTTATAGTTTTGGGTTTCACATTTAAGTCTTTAATCCATCTTGAGGTGATTTTTGTATATAGTGGAAGGAAGAGGTTCAGATAAAAATCTTCTGCATATGGCTAGCCAGTTATCCCAGCACCATAAATAAATAGGAATCCTTTCCCTGTTGCTTGTTTTCATCAGGTTTGTCAAAGACCATAGTTGTAGGTGTGTGGTCTTATTTCTGGGTTCTCTATTCTGTTCCATGGTCTATGTGTCTGTTTTCGTGCCAGTACGATGCTATTTTGCTTAAAATCAATTAGATTGCATGTGGATGATACGATTGGCAGTGTAGAATTATCATTCCCAGACCACTCCCCACCCCAAATAGATTCATTATTAGCATTATTAAGGCTTAAAATCAATTTGATTTACATGTATCAGTAAGAAATGGGTAGAAAAGCCTAGTACTCTGGCTCATGCCTGTAATCCCAGCACTTTGGGAGGCCGAGGTGGGTGGATCACAAATCAGGAGTTCAAGACCAGTCTGCCCAACATAGAGAAACTCTGTCTCCACTAAAAAATGAAAAACTTGGCTGGGCATGATGGTGCATGCCTGTAGTCACAGCTACTTGGGAGGCTGAGGCAGGAGAATTGCTTGAACTTGGGAGGCAGAGGTTGTAGTGAGCTGAGATCATGCCACTGCACTCCAGCCTGGTGACAGAGCAAGACTCTGTCTCAAAGTCTCAAAAAAAGGGGGGGGGGTAGAAAATAGTGTTTTTGAAAAGATAGCCAAAATATAAAGTACTTAGAAGTCAATCTAACAAAAATTAGGTAAAGCTTTGTAGAGAATTCAATTCCTAGTGGATTAAAAAGTTACATTTGAAAAGCCAAATTATAAAATATTTGAAGACTATGTAGAAATATCTCTACATTTTGGGGTACGGAAAAATTTAATACACAAAGTGTAACTGTAAAGAAAAAGATTTTAAGGTTGATCACATTAAGAGTGCATGTTTATTGAAGGACGCCACGAGCAACAGGGAAAGATAAGCACAAACTGGGGGATATTTGCCCCACATATTAAAGAACTGGTGTCCTTTGCTTGGTTAGTAGTTAGAGGAAGAACTAGAGTTGAAGAGAGTGCTGGGTGAATATGTGTGTGGGTGTTGGTTTTAGGTGAGAGAGATTTTGAGCATAGTTGAATATTGAGGGTGAGAAAGATGGAATAATTGATGGACTGGTATCCCTGAAGATTAGGAGAATGTGGGATCCCATAATACATGGAGAGAACCTGACATTTAGCATTTGCTTATATCTCAGAATGCTGACTATCTCTACCACTCTTGCTCTCTCAAAGCATATGTAAACTTCCTTACAACAGCTAGTATTTGTCAAGTCCCTTCTGATGTCAGGCATGCTATGGCTACGGTAGTAAGCAAAATCAGACCCAGGCCCAGCCTCATGAGTTTATAATTTATCAGTGGAAACACTCATTATATAAAACCTTTAGTGTTTTTATTTTTTGTAGAATTTTTTGCATTTTTAATTCTTTATTTTAAAAATACATTTGCTTGAGTAGATAAACGTTCACAAGAAAATGGAAAAACACAGATTCTCTTTTCGGGATAGAGATAATAAGAGGAATCTTGGACAGGCGCGGTGGCACGTGTCTGTACTTCCAGTTACATGGGAGGCTGAGATGGGAGGATTGCTTGAGCCCAGCAGGTGGAGGCTGCAGTGAGCTGAGATCGCACCACTGCACTCCAGCCTGGGTTACAGAGCAAGATCCTGCTTAAAAAAAAAAAAAGGTGGATACATTGGCTCACGACTGTAACCCCAGCATTTTTGGAAGCCAAAGCAGGCAGATCGCCTGAGGTCAGGCATTTGAGACCAGCCTGGCCAACATGGTAGACAGTAGAAATCCTTTCTCTATTAAAAATACAAAGCGGTGAGCGGAGCTGGGCGGCGGCGCCTGCGCTCGCTTGCCGTTGGGTCCCGCCTTCCTCGGCCAGTGTGTGGAGGCCTCCGTGTCGCCGTGGCCACCCGCACCTGGCCTGCCGCAGCACTCTCGGCTGCAGCTCTGCTCGGCCCCGCGATGCCGGTGGACCTCAGCAAGTGGTTCGGGCCCTTGAGCCTGCAGGAAGCGAACGAGCAGCCGCAGCGCCCGCTGCATGTCACCTGCGGGGGGCGGCGGTGGACGAGCTGGGCGAAGTGCTGATGCCCACCCAGGTCAAGAACAGACCCACCAGGATTTCGTGGGAGGGTCTTGATTCAGGGAAGCTCTACACCTTGGTCCTGACAGACCCGATGCTCCCAGCAGGAAGGATCCCAAGTACGGAGAATGGCATCATTTCCTGGTGGTCAACATGAAGGGCAATGACATCAGCAGTGGCACAGACCTCTCCGATTACCTGGGCTCGGGGCCTCCCAAGGGCACAGGCCTCCACCGCTGTGTCTGGCTGGTTTACGAGCAGGACAGGCCGCTGAAGTGTGACGGGCCCATTCTCAGCAACCGATCTGGAGACCACCGAGGCAAATTCAAGGTGACGTCCTTCCCTAAAAAGTAGGAGCTGGGGGCCCCTGTGGCCGGCACATGTTACCAGGCCGAGAGGATTGACTACATGCCCAAACTGTACAAGCAGCTGTCTGGGAAGTAGAGGGTTAGCTTGGGGACCAGAACAGTCTGTCCTGGAGGCCCCAAGCCATGTTCCCCAGTTCAGTGTTGCATGTGTAATAGATTTCTCCTCTCCCTTCCCCGCTTTGCACAGGCAAGACCTGAGCAGTCAGATGGTGGTTTAGGGTGACTTTTCCTGCTGCCTGGCCTTTATAATTTTAGTCACTCACTCACTCTGATTTATGTTTTGGTCAAATTTGAATTCCATTTTGGGGGATATTTTGGTACTGTGATGGGGTTATCAAATTGTTAATATGAAAACAGCAACCCAGAATGTAAAGAAGATAAAAATTGGGGGAAAAAGACAAGGTTTGCAGTGATAGGGCAAAGCATCAAAGAATCTTTAAGGCAGGTTAAAAAAAAATAAAGGTTGGCTGCCTCTGCCTTTGTGATCCTGAGTCCAGAATGGGACGCAGTGGGTTTTTATGGTGATGTCACTCACCTGGACAGCCAGAAGCTGGCGTTGAAGCTTACCCCCAACACGTTGCATCTCAGATGCCTCAATAGGCATCAGTATCTCGCTCTGGTCCCTTTAAAGAGAGTGGCTTTGCTTTTGTTGCAGCATGGCCATCTTGGCCGGTGGCAGTGCTGGCTGACAGCCTAGCAGGAATCCCTATATCTGTGTCTGTTAAACTGATCATTCTTTATGGGAGCAAGAAAAGCTGGTCTGGAGTTGCTGAATGTTGTGTTAATTCTGCTGTTTGCTTCTAGTTGAATAAAAATAGAAACCTGAATGAAAAAAAAATACAAAAAACCAGCCTGATGTGGTGGTGCACACCTGTAGTCCCAACTACTCTGGAGGATGAGGCACAAGAATTGCTCAAACACAGAAGGTGAAAGTTGCAGTGAGCCAAGATGGTGCCACCGCCCTTCACCTGGGTGACAGAGTGAAACTCTGTCTCAAAAAAAAAAAGAAGAATCTCTCTGTCCCCCACCCTCACTACATTGAAGCTATTTGCCGAAAACTTGATAGTTATTATTGCTGATGATTTCATGGTCACCTCTTTCCTACTCCAGTGCATCCCAGCCAGCTCTGAGGGTGGAGCAGTGAACTGCGTGTGGTTCCTTCTACTTGGGGATTATGCTGAGAGCTTCACGTCTGAAGAGAGAGCTGTACATGTTAGCCACAGAGCCAACCCCAGGCATTACATGTTGGCAAGATAAAGACCAAATGGGTGATCTGTGAGCTCGTAGGTATCAAATCATGTATATGATGACAGTCATGACCCTATTGAGGACTGTGCTGAAATCAAACATTTTGTATATTCTTCTAAAGTAAGGAGCAGCTGTAAGGCCAGAATTCCCTACCATCTTTCTACCCTAATTTGTTTACATTTATAAAGGTTTTCTTGACCTTTCTTGCTTCTTTGACTTTATTTTACCTTTTGCTGATATATAGCCAAGATTTAAAGCAGTGAAGCAGGTGTTTAGATAAAAGATAACCTCAATTATCTGTGAGGCCAGATGGGAAATTCACATAATTAGAATACTGCAATCCAAACAAAACAAATCTATAGTTGTGTTTGGTGTTGTAACCAGCATTTTGCAGCTTCTGCTTTAGATTTTCTATATGTCCTTTGTTTGACACAATCAACTTTTTGAGTACACTAGCACCGTGGTGTGTTGCATGAGGACTTGTTAAAGTCCTGAGAGAGAATTATTGTCCTAGGCCTCGTTTCCCTGTTAGGACTATAGACCTCATTAGCTCCACATGCTGGTAATCCAAATGACCTGATTCCCTTTTAGCTTTTTCTTTCTTTCTTGTTTTCTTTTAAGAAATATTAGGTGGAGCCAACACACCTTATGAGAAAGGTGTTTTAAGTTAGAAGGTATCATTCCTGAGAGGTTAGTATGAATCAGCTTCTCAGCCTACATGGTAAAGTGCATTTATTGGAGCACAGGGCATTGCAGTAGGTAGAGCATTAAATGTAGGGGATAAAGGACTAGGTTTTAATCAGGTCGTCTCATGACTTGATGTGACCTTGACTAAGTGATTTTATTTCTCTAGAGTTCAGTTTCCTTCTCCAGAATAATGGGCCAGATCACATCAAAAAGATCTTCCCATTTTTAAAATTGTGATACAATATACATCACATACAGTTGACCATTCTTAAGTGTGCAGTTCAGTGGTATTAAATCCATTCACCTTGTTGGGCAACCATCACCAACATCTACCTCCAGAACTTTTCATCCTCCCAAACTGAAACTTCATAGCCATTAAACTATAACTCCCCATTTCTCCCTGCTCTCAGCCCCTGGCAACCACTATTGTGCTTTCTTAAAATGAAGACCCCCCTCACCACCTGCCTTTTTTAACTTTTATTCTAGGTTCAGGGATACATGTGCAATCTTGTTATATAGGTAAACTCATGTCATGGGGATTTGTTGTACAGATTATTTTGTCACCCAGGTACCAAGCCTAGTATCCAATACTTTGCTGTTCTCCCTCCTCCCACCCTCCACCCTCAGGTAGGCCTCAGTGTCTGCTGTCCCCCTTTGTGTCCATGTGTTCTCATCATTTAGCTCCCACTTATAAATGAGAGCCTGCGGTATTTGGCTTTCTGTTCCTGCAAAGGCCATGATCTCATTCTTTTTTTATGGTTAATGCCCCTTTTAATTCAAGGCTCCTTTAAAGCTTTTACCAGGTAAGTTATAGTTGTAGTTTTGTACAGAATGAGGAAGAGAAGAAATGAATATCTAACAGTTGAAACAGACATGCAATCACTCGATCAGATCCTGGCCAAACTTGTTAAAGTCTTGAGACAATAGCTTAATGATCATGTGGTGCATCATCAGTTCTAAAACTAGACTGGAAACTTTGCAAAGTCTGTGTCTCACATAAGATACATAATAACCGTATGCAATGTATAAATCTTAATTGAGTTCTGTTTTGAAAAAGCCAGCTATAGAAAACAAAACTGGGGAGAACGACCAAAATCTGAAGAGTGAATGAGATTAGGGAATTCCTTCTTAAATTTTCATAGGTGTAACAGTATTGCAGTTATATATGAGAATGTTCTCATTCTTAGAAGATGTGCTCCAGTATTTAGAAGGTGAAGTGGCTTGAGCTCAGGTGGTAGATACACGTATGTTTACAGTACTGTTATTTCAAACTGATTGATTGTAAATTTTCATACTGAAAATTTAGGAAGAGAGAAGGTTTGCCTCCCAAAGCCTGTTTCCTTGACATTTTTTTTTTTTTTTTGAAACCGAGTCTTGCTCTGTTGCCAGGCTGGAGTGCAGTGGCACGATCTCAGCTCACTGCAACTTCCGCCTCCTGTGTTCAAGCAGTTCTCCTGCCTCAGCCTCCTGAGTAGCTGGGATTACAGATGTGTGCCACCACACCCAGCTAATTTTTGTATTTTCAGTGGAGACAGCGTTTCTACTAATCAGAGTAGACCCCATTTCTCACTCCAATTTATCATCCAAACATTGATTCTGCTGGAAGGTTTTGTCTGGATGTTCTCAAATTGCCACCAAAACTGAGTTGTGGGTAAATGGTTGACTCTACAGCATCCTTTTTGCTTCATCTATTAGAGTGTCACATCCTAATCTAAAAGCAACTGTTTATCTGTTTGCGTATAGGGTGCTTGAAGGCCATTCCTCAACATCGCAACTCTGTTGACCTCTATTCAGCTGCTCATGTCAGAACCCCACCCTGATGACCCACTCATGGCTGACATAGTAAATATCCCCATTTCCCTCTGCAATGTTTATCCTACCTTGTCTATACCGCTAACTGCCCCTGTATGAGGACTTGTCCATACCACTAACTCCCCCTGTGTGAGGACTTGTCTATACTGCTAACTCCCCCTGTGTGAGGACTTATCTACACCGCTAACTCCCCCTGTGTGAGGACTTGTCTATACTGCTAACTCCTCATGTGTGAGGTCTTGTCTATACTGCTAACTCC